TGAATTCCTATCATCTTGTTTGGTGAAACTGTATTGTTTATTTTTTTGTCTTTTTGAGACAGGATCTCACTATGCAGTTCAGGCTGGCCTTGAGCTCACTCTGTACACCCCAGGCTGGTCTCAAACTCACAACGATCCTCCTGCCTCAACCTCCTGAGCACTAGGATTATAGGCTTGCACCACCACACCAGCTTCTCTATTGTTTATAATTTTTTTGTTTTTATTTTTTATTTTCTTTAATGGTTTGATTAATCTTACATTCTTACATGTGGCAATCTGACCAACTTTGACGAAGATAAAAATATGTAATAATAACCACTGTTAATCCTTATCATTTTGTTCTGAAACTCTGTATCATTTTTACTGTTTTTGCTCTGTGTTTTTGTCTATGTTGTTGGCACTTTGCTATTGTTCTTTTTTTAATTCTCTTTAAATAAAATTAAAATAAAATCCTCACCTTCGCACGGACATTTTCAAATGATGCAGGACTCACAAGGGAAAAGCAAATTAAGAACACATCCTATAAAAAGGAAACACAGGTAAACATTTAGAAAACAATCTCAAAATGATGACTGCACTTTGCTTTCAAAATGCTGCTGGGCTAATCATGGGACATGGTGTGTGCCTATTGACTGTACCAGCAGCTGAGGTTAAGACATCTGTTCCCTGTTCACCCCTGCAATCTGTCAGACAGCTCCAAAACCAGAACCAGCATGTCAAGCAACCAGTGACTTGGGAGAAAGGGGGAAGCAGCAAAGGAAGAAATATGCCAGCAGCTGTGTGAGGCTAAGGATGTACCAAGCCAGAGCGATGGGAGAACTCTTCCACCTCTCCCAACTCTTGACTGGGCATCTAATTATCTGGTATAAACAGACAAAAAATTATAAACAGAACCACAACAAAGGCGGTTTCTGTTTCCCAAAAGCAGAGTCAACATTAAAAAAATTATTTACAAAAGTATGCTTTTAATTAAACTCTCCATTTGCATGTGAAGTACCAACATTTTTAGACCATCACTACCTTCAATAACCCCCTGTCACAGTCCCTGGCACAAGTGAGGGCTGAAGTATTTGCTGCCTGGGCCCTTCTCTCCCTGGTGAAGGGTGGTTCCGTGTGGAATGACATCCTCCCTGCTGACAACCACCCTCACATGTCACAGCTTCTCAGGCTCAACCCCAGCGCTGCAGAACTGGCCCCCAGGGCAGCTGTCACTAGAGATGGAAAGGAAAAGTAGTGTAGAATACATATTTGGACACTGTTTCTGGATAAATATAAAATATTTGAGTTTTTCTTCTCATCTGCTATTGTGCATAAAGTCAAATTCAAATGTTTACCTTTATTAAAAATGCTCAAGTGTTTCTAAAATGCTAGGCTTATGAAACATACCCCCAGAATTATGCTACTTTGTAAAATGTATATAATCCCCGAGCTAACACTTTAAACCATCCAGCTGGTTATCTTGTACCTGAAAAGAAAAGAAACATCCCACAACAGCTTTTTATAAGTTACATTGTGTAAATGCTGGCGCATGCACAAGCTTGCCCCAGAATCACCACGGCTTCTTAAGTTGATTGCAAACCATCTCAAGCATGGTCAGGTTAGCTCACCAGCGCTGCTCAGACAGCCCACCAAACAGGACACCACAGCAGAAAAGAAGGCCCTGGCAGCAAGGTTAGTCCTGCCCTGGCTCAGCACTCAGCCACCCTCCCCAGCGCCCAGGTGGGTTGTCCCGCGGCATCTCCGCCCAGCTGGAGAGGGCCCTTCCCTAAGCCCTCCTTCATCTGGGAGGAGGGAAGCAAGCAGCTCACACACTGCTTCAATCCAGCTCCAAGGAAAGCTTATTTCATCAAGCAAACCCCACCTTGAGTGAATTAAAACATAAAACACTCAAGGAACTTGAGGCTCAGAATTCCTAGGAAAACTAAATGAAACAAGAGAACAGATAAGCTTGAGACTGAAGTCGACTGAAAGTGTTACATACGGCAATCGGCTTGTCTTTGCCCCTGGAGGTTATATCCTTACCATACGTGTCTCCAACCTAGTAATGCACGAGAACTTGGTTTGAGTTCAGGAAAAGTAAGAAAAATAGAAATCAATATAAACCTTTTACTCTTCATCAGAATTTTGTCTCAACCTCCCCAAGGGATTTAAAAGCATAAATGACCTAAGACATCTTTAATGCCAAATGCCACCAAATCCCTCCAGGAAACCTTGCAAAGAGGGTGTGTCCCACATGCAGCGACAGTGGGGAAGTTGGGAAACACTGGGGGTGCAGCAAAGGCGATCCTACCTGCAGCAGCACACGGCAGACTCTGTCACATTCCCATAAAGCTGGAAATGTGAAAAAGGTCCCTCAGCACGAAGGCCTTCTCTGTGCAGCTACTGGCATCCATTAGCAGCAGGTGCTCCGTGCAAGTTCTCAGAGCCAAGCCCCACTGAAGCCCCAGCAAACAGGAAAGGCACCTGCCTGTGAGCCAGACCAAGGGCTCTCCCAGGACAGGCCAAGAGAGCGGACAGCCTGACGCCGTCTGAACATCAAGTCTCCTATGCAGAACCTGTGTTCCCATCCCCTTGCTCTGAGGACAAGGTTTGGATTTATAGACTTGTATTACTGAAATGGTATTGCTTAAACTAAGACCTTCAATTCTGGGCACCTCTGCAGAAGCTGTAAGGCTGCCCTTGTTGACAAGTTTTAGAAGTGGCATATCTAGTGGGGTTTTGTTTTTTTGTTTGTTGAGACAAGGTCTTGCCATGTAGGTCAGGCTGTCATTGAACTCACTAGGTAGCCCCAGCTGGCCTTGAACTCCAGGCACTCCTCCTGCCTCAGCCTCCCAAGTGCTGGGATTACAGACGTGTGCCACCATGCCCAGTTTTTTATATCTCGTGTTTATCACAATACTTCCAATTCATTCTTTGTTCCAATAAACCTCAACAGATTTAACTCTTCCAACACAGAACCTTGGAACTCCTCTAAGAAAAGAGCACACAAGAGAACCATTTTAATTTCATCTCATTCAAGCTTGATTTATAATTCAAATAGAACACTTTTGTAACTATTCCAGTTTAATCTTTGGGCTATTTTTGAAGATTTGCCCTCCCAACTCTTTATAGGATACCAAAGCTTTACATGACACAAAATCTGTGACAAATCTTTACATGATGCCAAATCTTTACTGTGACAGACACCAGAATCAGTCACAGAAACACGAGTTCCAGAATACCCTCTAACTGCACTTCTCGTGCCCTTTTCAATTTTTAAGAACATGTTTTTTGATGGAGAAGAGACATGCAAAATAGGAGCCAAGCAGTTCCACTTCCCACCCATGTGAACGTCGCGCCATCTGCCTGTTCCTCCCTTGTTCCTTCTTCCCCTCGCCTAAATATAGCTTTTAGAAAACCTATCTGCTGCTTCTGGTACTTTCTACCACTGATTCCTTCCAACTGGGCTTTCCTGCTGTGTCACAGCACAAGGAAGTTATGCTAGACAACCCTGGCGGAGTCTCTTTTCCTCCCTGTCCCTGTCCTGCTCAGCGAGCAGCCTCAGGAGCACCTTTCTCTCTCACAGTCTCCCGCCGTGCTTCCGCACAGATGACTCGTGTCAGTGTCACTGGTCACTGGCCCACCTTCCTGTGCACCTAAATGCTGCTTTCTCAAATCACAGAACACTTCTGACGGTGCCACACGCTCACTGTGCCACCTCGCAGGAGACTGCTGCGTCTTCAACGACTTCATTACTTCCTTCTCCCTCACAGGTCAAACTATCTGGGTTCTTCCGCCATCAGAGGTGCAGTCCCCCAAGACAGGCCAGCTCATGGCAGTGGGAGACGGGGAATATCTGAACGGCTGAAATCTCACTAAGCCAAGAGCAAGTATCACTTCTTTATTTTCTTGCAAATACTTTCTACCTGGACTTTGCTTTTGTTTTTTTATTTTTAATTTAAATAGAAAAAAATAAAATTTCAAAACAAGGTAATAGGAGGGTAGCAACAGTTAATACATTGCGTATTGTTATCTTTAAATTAGTTACTCAGAGTAGAAGATATCGGCACGGACTTTGCTCTTAGCGTTGGAGTTTCTTTTTCTTTTTAAAAGACAGAGTCTTGCTATGTAGCCTAAGTTGGCACTGAACTTCCTATGTAGCCCAGGCCGGCCTTGTACTCTTGATCCTCCTGCCTCAGTCTCCCAAGTGCTGGAACTATAGGCATGCACATCACACCACAATGGATTCTTCTGCTTTAAATACTGACATTTTTATGCAGGATAAGGGCGGAGAAATGGCAGAACTAAAAAAAGGCGGGTATGTGTCATCAGTGAAGATTTTCTAAAAAAAAAACCAGCTCAGGAAAAAGAAAATCAGCCCTGACATATGGGAAGCAGCCTGGCCCCTACAGCTTCACCGTAGCCAAGGTATCCTGCTGAACCTAAGTCACGCAGAAGACCGACCACAGAAGTGACCATGCGGATATGACACCAAAAATAATTAAAACGCAAAGACCACTCATAACCTTGTCTAATGGCAACAAACCCTCAGTCACTGTGTAAACTACAAAACCACCCCACCCTGATAAACTACTTTACCAATCACTGTATTCCCCAAAGAAGATTTATTAAAATACACAATCACAAGTTACTGTGACTGACAGCTTTCAGCCAGAGCAAATGCCTCCATTTCTTCAATATATTATCTAGTAACATTCTATTTTAGACGTGCTGATTATTTGGTGTCTAAAATTAGATTTAATATAAGAACATGCATTTTAGAAAGTTACTTAAGTCATCAGTCAAGTGTCTTTCAAAGGTTTTATTTTCAGTCCTCTATTTTACTGATACATTTGAGATATATATAATAATCACATTCATCGTAACGAATCTGTACCTGTACATGATATATCTTCCTTTTTTTTCCCATTCCCCTCCCATCCCCTCAACCCCTTTTCCTTTCCTTATTTACAAAAGCTTTGTTTCCACTTTTTCCCTTTTTTCTCCCTTCTTTCCTTTCCCCTTACCCTCTTCCTTTGTTTCTCTTCTTTTTCTTTTTAATTTTTTTTTCTTTTGGTACTGGGAATCAAACTCAGGACATTGCACTTGCTAGGCAGGCGCTGTGCCACTGAGCTATCTCCCGAGCCCTCTTATTTGAACATTTTCTTTCCATTTCTCAGTATGTTGTATTTTTTTGGTCCTTATTTACTCTTAGTTTCTCACACTGGAGAAACAAGGCAGTATTTACACATGTATGTCTGATTTATTTCACTTAAGAGTATGGTCAAGGTGCATTCATTTACCCAGGAATGTCTCAAGCTTATCCTTCTTTATAACAGAGTAGTACTCTATTGTATTTTTAAAAAAAACAAAAAAACCACCAAAACCCATCTTTAGCCATTCACCAACTGATAGGCATTTGGGCTGTTTCCAAGATTTAGCTCTTCAAACTGTGCAGCTATAAACATGAGTGTGCACATATTGCTGTGTTATGATAAATGCCTCCTTTTTGAGGCCCTACCTCCCCACAATCACACAACACAGGCCCAGACATCACCCTCTCCAGCTCTGGGTATGGCCCCAGGGCAGACAAAAGAAATTCCATCCCATTTAACTTCGGAGTTTGTTCCTAATGACCTTTGGCTGGAGGACTTGGACACCTGTAACAGCCAACTTAATAAAAGCTGACGCCTCTGAAAATCAATACTGAGCTAATCAAAAACCTACACTAGTGTGGTTTTTCTTTTTATCCAACATCACAGCAGTGGAGCCCAGCATTTAAAAGCCTTCCTCAAAGCAAAGCATACAGAAAATGCAAACACTCAGCTGACGGAACAGAGGCCCTGTCTCTCAGCAAACAGGCCAAATGCCTGGGTCCGACACCCACAGGGAACAGGCCTGTGACAGACACATCCTCCAGTCCCACTCATACCACTACATCCCAATGCACGCAGACAAACAAAGGGGACTGACACCATGTAAAGTGTGGACATGCTGAGCATGCCAACTGAAGAACTGACAAAACATTGTTAGGAGAAAATGAAGCTAACTTACTAGAAGGCTAAAAAGCGGGGCATGGTGGCACACACCTGTAATCCCAGCTCTCGGGAGGCTGAGGCAGAAGGATCACTGCAAGTTCGAGGCCAGCCTGGGCTACAAAGTGAGCTCAAGGCCAGCCTGAACTGCATAGCGAAACCCAGTCTCAAAAGACCAAAAAAAAAAAAAAGAAAAGAAAAGAAAAGAAAAGAAAAACCCTATGGCTTACTTAATTTGGAAAAATAAAAACTGAAAGGGAATTTCAACTGAAAATTATGACTACTTGGCTCAACATCTCATGGAGACCCAAAGAAAAACTAGTAGTTTAAACAGCTTTAACTTACACAGGACTACCCAGCATAGAAGGGATCAACATAAAATGACCACAAGGAGCACAAATCTCTTCTCAAGACTCCTTCAGTACACAATCTTCCACCTGGCCGTTCAGGAGTGAGTCTGAGCAGCCTTGGCTGAGCCACACACACAGGACTGCAGCCCTAAGAGCCAAACTCAAGACACCACATCCCATGCAGCACAAAGGTCAGCAGTTTCCCCTTTGTCAACAAGACTCCCAGGCCTGCTCCTTCCTCAGAAAGACAATGTGGCCCAAAGAAAGGAGCCCTCCTCTGCACTAGTATTTAAGCATCCAGGCCCTGCCCGTAGGTGCCAAGACTATTTCCTCATCTCCAAGCAGTCCAGGAAGGCATGTCTGCCTGTGAGCTGAGTGAGTGCTCTCTGCTCCTTAAATACGCTACTGCCTACCACCCATGCTGCTAGGCAGTGGATTTTACAGTAGCTGGTTTACTTTCTGAGCTACCTGAGGCAAGAATCATGCCTTACTTCCTTTTGCTGCTGAAGTATTTAATAGGGAAACTGCCGCCTTTATGCAAAGATAGGACATAAATAATGTAAGTATCAAGCCCCACAAAGACAACATCTACTCTGATTTCAGGCCTGTGCACTACAGCTTTATTCAACCTGAGAAGAGCCTACTTTCCTCATCTGGGCTCCTCAGAACAGAGTGGGACTCTTGCCAAGTCACCTTTGACTGGTTAGGAGTAACTCCCTCAGAAGAAAGGCCTCACCCTACTTTCTACTGGAAGGTCCTGAGTCATAGAGGAGTGGCTCTCATTTCTTAGAAGTGATGCTACACCCTTCCAGATATATCCAGGGGATGGAGACTCCTACTCTACCATTCACTGTGGTTTTTTTGAGACAGCGTCTTGCTATGTATGCAGTGCAGGTTGGCCTTGAACTTGCTCATGTAGCCCAGGCTGGCCTCAAACTCACAGCGATCCTCCTGCCTCAGCCACCTAAGTGCTGGGATTACAGACATGGGCCAGCATGCCCAGCAAGTCACTGTGCTTCTAAGTGCTTTTGAAAATCTGGACTTACCCAAATTCAAAGCCCACTGGATATAAAATAATTTCCCTAGACACTGAAGAATTTGAATCGTTTCATAATTATGGGTTGTTTTTAATCCTTAATCATAGGTAAGTTGTTTCTATAGATTTTCGGGTGAAACCACCCAATTCAAAACTTCTACATTCTATTCTTCATCTTTATTTAGCTCTATTAACTAAAATTCAGCTAAAGGACAATTAGCAAAATCTACAGCTCAAATAAAACTATTTGGCAATACCTCCAGCAGGTAACAAAGTGTACAAGATGCTTCAAGGGAAAAACCTATATACAACCTATATACAAAACCTATATACAAACCTGATGGGTCTGGTGGCACATGCCTGTAACCCTAGCTAATCAGGAGGCTGATGCCAGATTGCAAGTTTAAGCCCAGTAAGACCCTGCTCAAAACTTTAAGAACGGCTGGATAAAGCACTTGCCTACATAAGCAACACTGGGTTCACTTCTCAGTATTGTAGTCAATCAATCAATCACTATTTAAAAAGTCTGGCTGGGGGATATTTACTACTGAACTAATTTAAACTTTACTTGGTATTACTCAATTTATCCAAATCATGGCAATATAAGTAAATACGTACACAGGCGGTATGTATTAATCAAACATTGAAGAATTATATACTCTAAGGGACACATTAAAAAGTCCGTTGTGATTCTTACTGTTTGCGGATAGGAGAGGGGACGTAATCTGTCATAATCTTCTTGTCCAGCTGTATCCCATAAGCCCAGATTCACTGGTTTTCCATCTACCATAACATTGGCAGAATAGTTGTCAAAGCTGAAAGATGGGATTAAAAACTGTTACGTCACAGACAGGGGACCCAAGTCACAGCCCTAGCAGCACCTCAGAGGTATGCTAACAAGGCAGGGAAGGGACCTCAGGCTGTCTTGCAGAAAATGCCCCTGAAGCATGAGACCTTAAAGGGTAGGGGGCAGGGAGAAGGTACTGAGGAATGAATCCCACACACAGAGGAAAAAACACCTGAGAAACAATGTACAACCTATTAAATTTAAGTGAGAAAACTATCCCAACTTAAAAAAAAAAAAAAAACAGGCACAGTGGTATCTACCATAATCCTAGGCACTCTGGTGGCTGACACTGGAAGGTTTTAATTTCAAATCAGATGCCAGCCTAGGCAACTTAGCAAAAATAATAAAAATAAAAAGAGGCCAAATGTGGTGGCACAGGCCTATAACCCCACCATTCTGGAGGCTGAGGCAGGAGAACTGCAGCAAGCTGGAGGCCAGCCTGTGTCACATGGTGAATTCAAGGACAGCCTGCTCTATATAGCCAGACCCTGTCTCAAAACAACAAAACAACTGAGGATATAGCTCAGTGCTCTCTGGGTTCAATCCCTAGTACCAACAAAATAAGAAAAAAAAAAAATGTATTTTTAACAGAAAGCAAAAATTTTTCTCCCCAGGGAAAAATAAAGTGTAGAATCAGGTCTTTCAAATCTCACCTGCTGAGTTTTCCATGTACATATTTTATTCATTTTCAAAAAGTGTTTCCAGGATATGTATCTGTGCCTGCAACCTAAGTGCAGTGGTAACATAATGGTAACATAAACACAGTTCAATTTACAAGCGATCCAAAATATTTTCAAAGTGAGTGACCTGATCACATAAATGTTGCTTGAAGTTGCTACATAGTTAACTACAGAAGAGGCAAACCAGAAAAGCCTACATATAGGCTCTCAAGAGAAGTCTGATTTAAAAAGTGCTGTTGGCATAGAGCAGTTAATAAAAAGTTAAACATTTTAAAAACAGGTATTTTAATTTAAACCAAGGCAAGTATCTTATACAGCAACTTTATAAAAGACCAGGCTTTATCTTTATGTACTCAAAATACTAAAATTATTCTCTATGATGAATATGTATATCTAAAATGTACCAATAAAAATTTTTAAAAAGAAAAAAAAGTACAGCTCCACCATAATGCAAGAGCAAAGTGAAAGTCTAATAAGGTTCCAATGCAATTTACAGAATTTAATTAACCCAACTAGATTTCATAAAAAGGTTCGAGGAATGTAGCAACTGTGCTTCCATGAGGAAAGATTATTCAATAAATGGTCCTGTGATATTTTCCAGTGGGCCAAAAACAAACAAACAAAAAACAGACACTTAAGCCAGGTGTGGTGGCATCCAACTGTAATGCCAGCGCTCAGGAGGCTGAAGTAGGAGGATCCATGTGAGTTCAAGGCCTGCCTGGGCTACATAGTAAATCCAAAGCCAACCTGAACCACACATTGAGACCCTATCTCAAAAAAAACCCACCAAAAAAAACAGATGCTTACCAAAAATGAATTCTGAATGAACTAAAAATAAAACACTTTAATTGTAAAACTCCTAGAAAGAATACTACAGCATTCTCACACCATAAATTCTAAAACTTTTGTGTTTTTAGATTTTGAAATATCTATATATGATATACTGGGGATGGGATCCAAATCTAAATACAGAATTCACGTGTTTCATGTATACCTTACACACATTATCTGCGAAGTAATTTCACATAGTATTTTAGTAATTTTGTACATGATACAAGGTTTCATGATACAGAATTTTCCCCTGTGGCATCATGGCAGTATTCAGTAAATTTTGGATTTGGGGGCATTTTGGATTTTGAATCTTCCCATGAGGGATGCTTAATCTCTATCAACATTTAAAACAGTATTCCCCTTTGAAGTGGCACAATTCTACTTCCAATAATCTGACAGATGTATACAAAGACATATGCAATGACATTTAACACAGTACTGTCTGTAATGCTAAAACAAAGGGGGGAAAAAAGACCCAGGGACCAGTGGTGTAATTAATCACAGCACTTTAAAATCAGTAATTATTAAAGACACTCTTTCTAAGTAAGCAGACAAGGACAATGCCCACTATAAAACCAGGACACAGGTTTCCAGTTGCATTTTTAAAATGTGCACAACACTACATAGAGCACCCAAGTGGTGTGTTGTACTTGGGGTGGAAAGGGCTTGATGTGGACCTCTCCCCCACTGTCCCTGCTTAAGCAGGAGCCCAAGGACACAGACATGAGGAGAGTGCTCACTGCAGCACCGGGTGGTGCACTATGAAGCCTGGCTATTTGGGGTCCCTGGTAACCCATCATGAGAAAAGCACTTTTCCTTCTCCACCCACTTCTGCAGCCAGCCCAAGGGGAATAAGGAGCCGAATCGCCAATTCCACCCTCTCCCATCTCCACCCTGGATTCAGTTCTAAAGCCCAGTAACTCGACAATGGCATGGAACCAATGGGTGACTTGCCAGAAAAGGCTAATTAAAACCTAACAGAATACTTTGTTTGTTTTTGAGACAGGGTCTCACTATGCAGTTCAAACTAGCCTTGAGCTCACTTTGTAGACTAGGCTGGTCTCAAACTTGCAACAATCCTCCTGCCTCAGCCTCCCAAGTGCTGGGATTATAGGCGTGCGCCACCACGCCCAGCTCCTAACTGAACACTTTGTAGTCCAGTTTCCATTAAGCCAGATTTGAAATTCTTACACTGATAAGGACTGTCTCTGACCAAACTTTTGTCAGGCTCCTTTTGTCCAGCTCTGGTTTTCTTCTTTTGCGGAGAGGAAGTGTTTAATTTTTAGACAGTCTCATTCTGTAATTCAGGCTGGCCTTGAACTCACTATGTGTATGTAGTCCAGGCTGGCCTCAAACTCACAGTGATCCTCCTGCCTCAGCCTCCCAACTGCTGGGATTACAGCCACCATGCACAGCATGATTTTCTTTACCAATATTATCCAGCCTCCATAACTTCACTCAGCTTAACTCTGTTTGCAAGTGTCTAAAAATCAATCAGGCGGGCCGGGGATATAGCACAAGCTCCTGAGTTCAGTTCCAGACACCAAAAAAAAAAAAAAAAAAAAAAAAAACAGGAAATCCGGTTTTTTTTTGGAAAACAGTTTTTTTTTTTTTTTTTTTTTTTTTTGAGACATGGTCTTGCTATGTATGTAGTTCAAGCTGCTCTTGAGCTCACTTTATAGCCCAGGTTGGTCTCAAACTCGCAATAATCCTCCTGCCTCAGCCTCCCAAGTGCTGGGATTACAGGCATGCGTCACCATGCCTGGTTTATTCTATAATATGAGAAAACTATAAATTCACCAAGTTTTTTTTAAAGCCCAAAATATCTTATAATTAGATTCCAATCAATGTATGAGAGGAAAACAAGTATCAGCAGATCATTTAAGGATTCAAAAAGTCTTTATAGCAAAACACATGGCCAAAGGAATTGGAGAAACATCATAAACAAATTAATTCCCAATTTAATTGAACATACTTACACAGTAGGGATATACTCTCCAGGAAATGCATTGGTTGTGTAACTGATCAGTAGGCAAGTTTTACCTACAGCCCTAAAGGGAGACAAGAAAAGAAAAAGCTGCTTAGTCAACATCAGTGTGATCCTTTTATTATTATTCAACATCAGCTTTTACTATTATTGTTAAAATAATTTCTGGAGAAATCAAGGAGTTTACATACCACATGCTTAGCACTAAGCGATCACTTTCTATAGCTTTTAACACTATGCAGACATTTTTATCCCAAAACTCAGACAACCTAGAATTTTTCAGAAAGGTAGGTTTGGAAGCCATCGGGTTCTATTACAACATGTATCATTAACACCAGTAATCAAGAAATAGCTGTTAAATAAGAACAAGATTCAAGAGGAACAACTGTTTAAAACTTCCTCAGAGTATGCTGATTAACACTAATACGTAAACACAGCTTGCCTCTGCAATACTCTGCAATATTTTATTACTTCTACAATAATACTAACTTATTTTGCTGCTTCTAAGCTCAAACTCACGTTCCTAAAGCCTCGCCATTGACAGTCAAGTTATGACTGTTCTCTTAATAGAGTGCTTAGTTAATAAACTACCACACACAACTGTTCTTGCATTAATTCATCTGTATACATTTGCCACAGCTCCCCGCCCCTCACCAAAGCTTTTAAAGCAAGGGCTAACAACATGTCCCAGACACATTAGCTAATGGCTCACCGAAGGAGTAACTTACCAAACAGCTACAAAGAGAAACTACAAAAGAAAGATGTCGAAGTAAATACTAAGTCAGCAGGCACGGCTGAACAATCATGAAGGGGTACAGACAAATCACTATTACCAGTGTGCCACAAAAGCACAAGTCAGAGTGGTGGATGCAAGTCCCCAAACCACTTAAAATTTTCTCAAGAAAATATTCCTAAGAATTAAGATCACTGAACAATTTGCAAAAAAAAAAAAAAAAAAAAAGAACAAAAAAATTTTAAAAATTAAAAAAATTTTTTTAGCCAGGCCTGGGGGCACACATCTGTGATCCCAGCACTCATGAGGCTGATGCAGGAGGTTTGTTGTCACTTCAAGGCCAGCCTGGGCTACATAGTAAGACCCTGTCTATAAATAAATAAATAATTTTCAAAAAATCTACATACAAGATTTACAGATAGCCTATAGGGGTTTGTAAGTATCCCTGGCATTCCAAGGGCTCATTTCACTAAATGCTGTCCACAATGAGCCCAGTTCCCTGCTATTTAACTGTTGGTTTTGGGGGCTGGGGATTTAGCTCAGAGGCAAAAGCGCCTGCCTGGCATGCGCAAGGTCGTGAGTTCGGTTCCCGGTACCGGAGAAAAAAAAAAATAATAATAATAACTGTTGGTTTTCCAAGGTCAAGATAATACAATGGTATTAAGGTTTTTGAGACAAAGTCTCACTATGTAGCCCAGGCTGGCCTCAAACTCACAGAGATCCTCCTGCCTCAACTTCCTGAGTACTTCAATCACAGGTGTGCACTATCACACCCGGCAGTATTAAAAATTTGTTGTTCAATCTCAACTACTATAAACCAGGTTTTCACCATAAAGAAAGTTAATGCATTTCCATTTTCCCTCACACTGTAGCTTAAAGAGAAAATGCCTCAACAAGGGCAGATCACAGGCCCATTTAGTCTTGCCAATACTTGTTTTACTCGTAACATTTTTAAGTGCTTAACAAAACTTGGAACTCCCCACCCCAAAGACCTCACAGTCAAACATTACATCATCAGGAGGTAACCCTCCAACTCTTAGTCTTTCTAAACAGAAATGACTCATTGGATATACATATTCAGTAAATGGATTAGAATGTCAAAATGAGCCTATAAGAGCAAGAGCCTCTAAAATGTGGAGACAGAAGTCTGAATTTGACATAGAGCCAACTCTATCACTTTTAACAAGTTCCAACTTCCCCATGTGCCTTAGTTTCCTTGCACATAAAACGGATGCAGAACTATCAATACTTCACCCAACTATTGTGAGCCCTAATTCAGTTTCAATCTAGACTAAGTATGTGCTTTGCCAGAAAGTATAGTAAGTGCTAAAGATAATGCAAAGGAGACTTCTTGCAGTATATGCAGTTATTAAAATGAAGATTACATAGAAGTACAGGTATGAGACTGTTATTAAAGATACTCTGGGAATGTACAGTCCAAGATCTAACCTAGTCCTGGAGGTGGTTAGAGGAGGCGGTGATGTACGTTAAGACTACAAGTAATGGGAACAGGATGGCAGAACAAAAGCAACAGCATGTGGAGAGGCCAAGAGAGCTGAAAGAAGCCCAATATCAAGGAAGAACAAAGAAATACGGGAAAGTACCAGAGGAAAATGTGAAGAAGTTGTCATTTCTTGTAGAGAACACAGATTGAGCCTACTTGGGAAGGCACAGGTTGTTCTAGGTTACCAAGAAAGCATCAGATTTTAGAAGTCCCTTAGTGTACTGTGGAAAGGAGACTGAGGAAGCTAGGACTGGAGTGGGGGGAGCAGGGGGATAAGGAAGTAGCTGCTGTGTTCCACACCCATCCTACTCCACCCGTATAGTGGTCTGGACCGAGCAGAGGGGCCGGAAAGTGAAGATAAGCCATAAGCGGGGCAGTTTCACGAGCTCCTCAGACACAAGGCAGAACAGAACAGCTGACTGTGAGTTGGATGTGGTAGCTGAGAAAGCGAGTAGGGTCTAAGACCAAATGATAAATGAGCCAGGTGTGGTGGCACATGCCTGTAACCCCAGTAGTTGGTAGGCTGGGGCAGGAGGATCACTGTGAGTTCAAGCCCAGCCTGGGTTATAGAATTCAAGGCCAGCCTGAATTTCACAGTGAGACCTTGTCTCAGAAAGGCAAAACAAAAAACAAAAAAAGAGATAAATGTTGTATAGAAAATATTAACAATCCTTTCCACTTTTAATGTAAAAGATAAGCAACTAAAAATGTTTTGTATAAGATAAACCATTTTAAGGTCCCATCCTAAGTTTCTATGTAAGAAACAAAGCCGTTATTACAGACATGATCAACTATCATTTTTTTTTTTTTTTACTTTTTTTCCTCCCCCAAAATCTTTCCTTTATTCTTATAAAAACACTTACTTATCAATATGCTGGTTTAGACCTTTTACTGGGGACTGAATTTTGATGGCCCTATTTTACTTATCTCAATAACGGGTAAGTTACAGGCCTATTAGTAAAAGGGGAACTGTCATTTTACAATGCTCTAAAATTTCCTTTCTTGAAATTTATCTTCAATGAAGCATCGTCTTTTGCAGGGATTAACTATGGAGAAATTCAAGGTACTGATATAATATGATCTTGGCTGAGAATTTATTACCAGTCATTATCTGGTATAGTTCTGTTCTAAGAAAATGACTAAATTACAGAATTCTGACTGTTAAAATAAGCACATGGGGCTGGGGATTTAGCTCAGCAGCACAGGGCCTGCCTGGCAAGCACAAGGTCGTGAGCTCAATTCCTGGCACCGGAAGAAAAACAAACAAACAAAAATAAGCACATGCTCTACTTTTAATTTTTTACTTATTTTAAAAATCAATAACAAAAATAGATGGTTATTTCCATTCTGTTACTTCACTTATTCATCTCTTCTTAAAAACACAGCATGAATCCATTCTAGAAGCCAAAGATAACATCTGTACTAGGTGAAGTAATATGAAGAATGAAATCTGTATTTGGTCAGTCCTGACTGATGCTGCTGCAGAACTTCTGGAAGTTACTATGGGGGGAGGTCAATTTCATGCATTTAAGAATAGAGGAAGGCCCTGAGTTCAATCTTCAGTACGGGAGGAAGGCTTGGTTCAACTTCTTTTTAAAAAAATCTTTGAAAGATGTTGTTAATACTAGAGAATTAAATGGTCTACTGGAAGAAAGCTTACTTCAGTTCCATATTCGACTTGCCCCTAACACATGACATTACAGTTTGTTTTTTTACCCTGTCTCCCCTGCTCTACCCTGTAGAAAAAAACAAGATGAAAGCCAGCAACTTATGCTCTATTATGTTTTCATTTGGCTATTAAGAAAATTTTTTCCTGGGGCTGGGGATTTAGCTCAGTGGCACAACAATTGCCTGGCAAGCATAAGGGCGTGAGTTCGATCCCCAGTACCGGAAAAAAAAAAAAAAAGAAAATTTTTTCCTTACTTTAAAATTGATTGCTAAAGGAGCTGGGCGTGGTGGCACATGCCTGTAATCCCAGCACTCAGGAGGCTAAGGCAGAAGGATCATCGCAAGTTCGAGGCCAGCCTGAGCTATAAAGTGAGCTCAAGGCTAGCCTGAACTGTATAGTGAGACCCTGTCTCAAAATGACAAAAAAAGAAAAAAAAAAAGAAAATTGATTGCTAAGGCCGGGGATATATAACTCTGCAGCAGAGCACCTGCTTGGCAAGCGCAAGGTCCTGAGTCTAGTTTCCGGCACCTGCCCCCTCAAAAAAAAAAAATTGCTTTTATAACAAAAAAACCAAACTGTTCCAATGACAAATGTAAACCCAAATACAGAGCATGTAATGTTGCCTCAAAGTATACAGACTTAAAAGCAAGTTAATAGAATGTACTGAAAATATGAATTATAAAGTACCAAATAGATAATACTAACAACAATAAATGAAAGACCTTGAATGAAGGTCTTCAATTTAAGGTGTGGGTATTGTGTTAACAGTAGGCATTCCACAAATGCATGCCTATGAAGAGCTTATGTTCAGAAAAATATTATGAACCAGTAACAGTAGTTTAATACTACTACAAAAAAAATCTGAATTTCTGAGGTTCTACAACCAATGTACAGAAAGCTAGCCATTATCATTACAGGCTTCAAAATTTTCAGGTTCTGCATAAAATTTCTGGAACACTCAAGGCTGAAGATGCTACATATAACAGCTGAAGTATGAAGCAGTCCCTTCTATAATTATTAAGTCCAACTCTGGTGTAGTGGATATGACTCAGCTGAAGTTAAGAGTTGAAAAAGAATTTAGCCAGATGTGGTGGCTCACACCTGTGATCCTAGCACTCCACGTAGCAGACAAAGGAGGATCACAACTTTAAGCACGGCCAAAACAATTTAAGAGACTTAGTGAGACCAGGTCTCAAAATGGGGGCGGGGGGGCCCTAAGAATGTAGCTCAAGAGTCTTGTGTTTATTCTATTTCCCACTACACAACAAAATTGTATCTAATTGCACACCACCCTATTCTCCTTCACATCAACTCCTCTATTAAGGCCTCTGGCAATGGGAAGTCATATGATAAAGCAAACAGAACAAAATGTTGGTTATGGATTCCAGGTGGATTCTAGAACCTCAGAAATTCTTACTACACAATTCTTTCAACTTCCCCATATTTGAAATTTTTCATATGAAGATGCTGGTGAACTAGTTGTGGTGGTGCACACCTGTCATCCCAGTACTCTGGGAAGCCAAGACAAGAGCATTTCAAGTTCAAGCCCAGCCTGAGCAACTTAAGAGACTGTGGCTCAGAACAAAGAATATTAAAAGGCTGGGGATGTAGCTCAGTGTGAGGTCCCCATGTTCAATCCCCAGTACTGCAAAAAAGAAAAAAAAATTGGTGAAAAACAATTCCTTTTGATGACAGGTAGTAACTGGGCTAGCAGCAAAATTCCTGACAACATATTTCTTTTCTAGGAAAATTACAATTAGAAGACAGCTGCCTGGTGATGTAGAGGTGAGGAAGCACTAAAGCAAGCACTGAGGAAGCACTAAGACATTAGATGACTACATGATATAAAAGCAGCTTGTGAAGGGTGGACTAAAGGTTTCTAAAGCTGGCACCCTAATACTTCTCCATGTAACTCAACCCCAAATTTTTAACAGTATCATCATTTAAATTTTACTTATTTATGGTTGGTGCTGGGGATCCAATCCAGGACTCTGCACATGTTAGGCAAGTGTTCCACCACTCAGTGAGATTCCCCAGCCTTATCATTTAAAATTGTAAAAGAACGTTGTGTATAATTTTACCAACAAAGATAAGCTTTATATGCTAAATCTGGAAGCCAGCTCAAAATTCAAATGCCTTTACAACATGTCAGAAATAAACACAGGCAGGCATGGTGGCACATACACCTCTAACCCCTACACACTGGAGGCTGAGGCAAGATGATCAAAAAGTTCAAGTCCAGACAGGTCAACTAAAGTGACTTAATAAAGGATGGAGATGGGGGCCATAGCTCCATGTGAAAGCTCAGCAGTGCATGCATAAATACAAACAGAACCTCCTCATTCAAGAAGAAAACACCAAAATAATTTACAAGAAAAAAAAAAAAAAAAAAAATTTACAAGGAGCTAAGTATTTCATAGATCATGTCACTACCATTCAGTGGAAGTGGAGAGTAAATGAGAGTAAATGGTGTACATTCCTATAAGAATGACATCACAGAAGGCGTTTATCATGTTCCACAAAAAAATCTCTTGGACAGAAGTCTAAGTCAGAAATTGGTGGACAGTGGTCTCTATTGCAATGTGGATATCATTCCATACAAGGACGACTTCAAATCATTCATTCTCAGCCTTCTGGTCAATCAAAGCTAAAATAGCACTATTAAAAAGCATTGCGGGCAGTACATGCCTGTAATCCTAGCACTCAGGGAGGCGGAGGCTGAGGCTGGAGGATTGAAAATTTGAGCCCAAATGGGACAACTCAGGGAATTAGCAAGACCCTGTCTCAATTTTTTTTTTTTTTTTAAAGGGCTGGGGTTATAACTCAGCGTGAGGACCCTGGTTTCAAGCTCCAGTACCAGGAAAAAGGAAAAAAGAAATTGTTGGCTGGGGTGCTGTAACACAATACACCATTCTCAGAACCAATAGTATTTTTAAAAAAAAAAAAAAAAAAAAAACATTGTTTATAAATATTTGAATGGGAGATGCTGTGCTAAGTAGAGAGACAATCTCCAAGTAGAGCTCTCTGGAAAAGTTACAGGCTATGTGTTCAGGAAAGACTACTGGTGTTTAGCCCTATAAAATTTCAGCCCATACTTAAGTTTTATAACAATTTTAGAATAAAACAATACTCCAACTATAGCTTCAGGAATACAGTTTACTGAATTAAAAGCAGAAAAATATTTTTGGTATGAAAAATTATGTATACACATTTTTCATTACAGTGATGTTTGCTATCCATCATCCCTTTAAGAAATAGTTTATAGTGCACGCCTGTAATCCCAGCATTCAGGAAGCTGTGGTAGGAGAATTATTCCAAGTTCAAGGCCAGCCTGGGCTACAAAGTGAGCTCAAGGCCAGCTTGAACTGCGTAGTGAGACCCTGTCTCAAAAAGACAAAAAAAAAAAAAAGAAATAGTTTCAATTTTCTGTAAAGGTGTTTTTCATTTAACACTTAGTCCTAGTCAACATCAATGTCAAATATAGTACTAAAAGCCAGACTGAAAAACTCAAGGCCAAGAATTGTGTTTTTTATGTCTAGTACTCCTTCACTGGGCCTCACAGTAGTAGAAATGGTGACAGAAAACTTGTGTAACACGTGTGAGGCTGGGTCTGATTTCCAGTAATGCAAAAAATAAAAATAATAACAATGCTAAGGCACTTAAGCACTCAGAAAGGGGCCAGCCACTTACCAGGCTCTTAATAGCCAGCATCTTCTTTAATCTTGATTAACTTCCCCTTGAGGCACTTCTCTTGGGGAGTGAGAGAGATGGCCAGGGTTACCCCTTAAGTAACTGGTGCAGAGAATGTGAAAGCAGGACTCTAGTGCCACACAAATATTCAAGTGTTTGACCAGATGAAAAAGCCAATACAAAAAAAACTCAAGCCAGGCATGGTGGCACACGCCTGTAATCCCAGCACTCCAGAGGCTGAGGCAGGAGGATCACTGCAAGGTCCAGACCAGCCTGGCATACAAAATGAGCTCAAGGCCAGCCTAACTCAGTGGGTAAAGCATTTGTCCAGCCTGTGTTAGACCCTGGATTTGATCCCCAGCACTGCAAAAAAAAAAAGATGGGGGGGGCCTAACTCAAACAGCCAAGAACTATGATATGTTAGTACTAAATAATGTAGCTGCTTTGCTTTCATATTTCAATCTTAGAAATTTTCAAATAACATTACACATTGTGGTTGAATACTGAATTAGCAATTTAACTTATAAAAAAAGGAATATGTAGTACTTCACATTTCAAGTATTCCTGACTCTGCATACTTAACTTTTAGTAGAAATTCAGGTAACTTTAAATGTTCCTAAAACCAGTGCTTAGCTAATTTGTTACAGAAAAAGATCAAAACTTACTTAAACCTATTCAGACTCACTACAAAAACAAATAACCATTTTCTCCAAGTAAGGAAGTCTGCATTTAAAAGGTTAAAGTAGTAGCACACATATATATTCCTAAGTGAAACAATTTTTAGTTACAAAGAACCACCAAGTGTTATTAACTTTTCATATTTCAGACAAACCCCACAGATAAACATTTTACAAAAATGAGTTATCTATCTGTATCTTGTATCTGAATTCATTACAGAAACTTTTTTTTCTTTTTGTGGTAATGAGAATTGAAACCAGGGCCTTTTAATTTTGACACAGGGTCTCCCTAAATTGTCTAGACTGGGTTCAAACTTGCAATCCTCCTGTTTCAGCCTCCAGAACACTGTGATTACAGGCAGGCATCACCTTGCCTGGCTATACACAATTTCAAACGTTTTACAAAGAATTACCTAAATAAACTGAAAATCTATAAATGCATTTAGCAGCACAAAACCAGTATCAGTACTAATGACAAGTTTGGAGTAGATTAACCAGAAGTTAACAGTGATGCCAGAATTAACTCTTCCTTCAACTCTACTCAACTTGAAAATGTACCAGTTGCATTGTGAATTTGCTGAAACTGGTAGTAATTCTCCCAGCTTCCCTGTTAACACTAATCTACACAAGCAATGCTGAGACGATTAATTTTGCTCCGATTACACTGAGATTCTTGTTTCTATGGGAGAAAAAAACGGAATAAAAACGAGTCTTGTCTCCCTCAAGGGCCTGTAACCACCACGGACAGGAATGAAAAGAAAAGCCTTGAGTCACAAGGAACCAGTTCTACATCTACATCCATACCTAATGCGTTAAGCGAAGGCCACTTTTGGTTTTGTTTTTTGTTTTTAAATAACCACACCACGTTCACATCACACCGCATCTTCAAAAGCTCACACCATCTTCAAAAGCTTCTCCACACAGACAGAAAATAATCATATTAAGAATCCTCAAACTCGCCGGGTGTGGTGGCGAAAACCTGAAATCCCAGCACTCTGGGAGGCTGAGGAAGGAGGATCGCAGATTCAACCCTAGCCTTGGCAACTTGGTAACTTAGCGAGACTCTGTCTCAAAAATAAACAAATAAATAACTATGGATGTGGTTCAGTGTGAAGGTCCTGGGTTCCATCCCAGTACTACAGAGGGGGTGAGGTGACGCTAAAGCGGCGAAGTAGCCTGATCACCATACACAAGTTTCGGGTCACCAAAGCGTCGCGTCCTAAACATGCATCCAGTAGAATCCACTGGCTGCCCCGACCCGCTGCAGCTCTTCGCGCGGCGTACGCGAGAGGTTTAATGCAGAAACTAGGAAGGGCCCCTTTATCAAAATAAGGGCAAAATCCCCGAAACCTGCTTTCCAGGACGTGCCAGCCAGCGCAGGGCTGCGGGCGGCGTCCGGCCCGGGAAGAAAGCGGAGGGTGGAGTTCACTTTTCCCTCCGGCCGCGAACGCCGAGCCGAGCCCTCCCCCACCGGAGGGCCGGAGCCAGCCCGCGTCGGCCCGGGAGGGTGGGAGCCCGCGCCCGCGAGGA